GCCCTGACTAAATGGACAGCATTGCAGCCATTAGTAAGATGCTCTTGTCTTACACCTATTTCTCTTATGAAAATGTAGCTAATGCTAAGGATGCTGATTTATAAATAAAGGTAGAATTAAAGGTACAGCAAAATGAAGTGGTGTTGACTTTCTAGGCCAATATAGTCAAAATACAAGTCCTATGTAAGGTATATAGGTCAGAAGTTTCAGACTCTACTACGAGAAGTTCTAGAAAAGTATTTCAGAAAACAGACTTATTGGAGCCTAAGGAAGATGCAAAATAAGAACAATTGTACCAGAAAAAGCATGTTGGATGTGGAGGAGTGTTTTAGCCCCCCTCAGTATTTCCTTCTATATTTCTGATAGACAAATATTAGAATCTTAATTAAAAAGTCATATACTAGATCTTCTGTGACTTGGGACATTTTGGGTGTAAACTATCATACCTGAGACTACTGGCAAAATAATGTTAAGATTATCCTGTTCTCTTGAAATGGGATTGTTATAAATTGGGGAAACAGGCTTCTATAAAAAAGGAGGGAGGGACTTATTAAAGAAAGGAATGTAGTAGGTTTTATCTTTTTCAGTACAAGTAATGAAAATGTAACTTTGGTGTATGTCCTTCACAAAAGGACGTATATATTTGAGGCATATTTCCAGCACTTGATTCTTTAATGAGAATTTTTTATGATGGGTTTTTTTTAATAACCACCTGTTTTCCCCAAACTGTAATTTGACTACATTTGAGGACTGGATTAAATTTGGTCTTGATAGATTTGGGCAACTCTTACACAAAATGAGCAAATTTATACTTTGATGAACTAACAAGAAATTTCTGATTAACATTATATTGTAAGTAATTTCACATCTTAGCTGTAAACACTAAAAATTATAACAGCATTTACAAAACTGAAATACTTACCTGTCTCTCTATGTGAAGACTTATCTAGAATGTATAAATTCTTGCTACAAGATTAACACATAGAAAATAGTTAGCATGTAATAAATGGAAGGAAGTTGGATCCTAATACACCATTTGACAGTTAATAGTTTATTCTTTTTTGTGGGAAGCACAAAGCATCTCCTCCTAAATGTTTATCAGGATTCATCTCAATATCCAATGCCAAATCCTCAGCCTTACCTTTGTAACCCCATAAAGTCTTTATAAAATTGGGTCGCTAAGCACAGGCTTCTGCTGGCATTGTAAGACTCGCCAGGTACTCCTAAGTGAAATAATAAAGTACTGTTAAATTTTCAATTGATGGCAGCAGTTGCAGGAGAGGTATATAACCCTCTGCTTTGTCACTTGTGAGTAAATGCATTCCAGATCTTCTTCAGTGAGGTAGCTGACATTTTTGTACTAATGTGTTGTATGCAACTTACTCAGATAGTAGATCATAATTCATAGATAGTCGCAAGTATCCTTCATCTTCTAATACATGCTTTCTCTATTTTGGTCCTTTATCAGAAGGAACCTGGAACAAAGGCTAACAAAGGTGCTAAAGGGAAGAAGGATGAAAAACAAGATGCTGCAAAGGAAGGTACTACACCATCTGAAAATGGTGAAAATAAAGCTGAAGAGGTACTTTCCACACAGACCTCCCACTGAGTGAATCAGTGTTTTTTAAATTATTCAATCTTTCAGCCATTGATAGCATGTTCATAATGTTTCTTTTTATTGCCCATAATGTTATTGCAGATTCGCATCTCTCGTTCAACTGTTAGTGTTTCAACATCAAGAGGTGCCCCACCCAGCACACTGTCAGTTAAAGGGCAGATTGAAACAGTGAAAGTTAAGGGTACGGTAGAGCATTCTGCATGTGTGCAGTGAATAGAAACAGATAGTAGTGTGGTGCTTTTCATTATGAACAATGGAAGCTGGCAGGTAAGGCTTCTATGGCTTTTGAAAAGCAAGGACCAATAAATGAAGATAAGTGTGTGTGTACTGTTGTGTCTGTAAACATTATAATAGTTTGAAATTGAGTGGTTGCAAATAATGCATCAAAGGAGAAGGTACTAGTGTGGGGACTTTTTTTTTTTTACATGTGGAGCTGTTACTTATTATAGTAATTGTTTTTTTTTTTTTTCCCTTCCCCTTCACAGGCACAGAGAACTGAATCTCTAGGTGACAAGAGCGAATGAATTGTCATGAAAATTTTGGGTTGATTTTATGTACCTCTTGGACAACTTTTAAAAGATATTTTTATCAAGTATTTTGTAAATGCTAATTTTTTTAGGACGATAATAGTTAACATATTAAACTGTATATGAACATATCCCTTCTCATAACCATGCTTTTAGAAATTCTCATTGCTGCCAAGTAATATAAACATCAACTTAGCATTGCAAGGTGTGTGTCAAATTGGATCAGCATTCCATACACTTGCTTTAAAAAATTAAGTCTTGTGCATATGGTGGTGGTTTTTATTGTGCGTATTTGAATTTTTCATGCAGTTTTTCTAGAGCAATAATCAGTGGTGCTTTTGTACTTAGGGTTTATGTGATTTTAATGAAACATGGATAGCTGTGGCCACCTGCTGACTATTTTGGGTTCTATTAATGGATTAAAATAAAAGGTCTCCTTGCCTGCAAATCTACAGCGTCCTAATGTTTTCTCTAAATCGGACTCATTTTTTAACTATTGTGTGGAAGACTAAATGGTTTAGCAACTATTGTGTTCTGCATGCACTAAGTTTCTGATGCTTTTTTGCTGGTCTCCGATAAAAATATTTAAATGTCCACATGAGAGTAGCAGGTCAAGATTTTCAGTGGTCCACATATTAATGGCCTTTTCAATATTAACTAGTGTATTTGTATTTACTATCACAGTTGAGTAGACTTTGTATTACTGTACCAGTATAACACAAAGTAAAATACCAAAACAGAATGAATTGCTTGACTGATACAAATGTACAGTAATTGAAAGGCATTTAGCTTTGGAGATGTAATAGACTTTTTTTTTTTTTTTTTTTTTTTTTTAATTTTCATCAGCTTAGTACATGGAGCCATTGTTTCTACCTACAGCCCACATTTAATATAAAATAGTAATTGCTATTCTGCTTCAGCAGACAGTTGTAAATGTATTGCAATTGCTGTTAAACAGCACTATACCTAGTATGTGGTAGAAATGGAACAATTAAAATATTTTTGAGGGGCTTGTGGTGGCAGTAAATTAGCTAATGATTTTTAGTACCTATACATTACACCTCTTCAGCTCATTATAAGCGCCTTTGATAGCTTTTTCTTTACTCTCTTCTGGAACGCTAGTATTTTTATTGTTGTTTGTGGGGATGGGAAAGTGAGAGAGAAATGTTCTCTATTCAGTAACATTTATTTGTGTTGCTCAAGTGGTGGCCATTATGTCTGAGGATAGTTTTGCTTGTTTCGGTCAATAAATAAATACTGTATTGCTTAACCTTAGTGTCTTATTTATTATTTAGGAAACAAGTTATCTGCAGTATCCTTGTCTTAACTTTTTTAACCCCTACCTCTCACTCCATGATAGTACATTTCTGCTTCTTTGTTATATTTACATATACATGATCGTGATTGTGGCCTTGGGTACTACCATTAATATTTCTACTGTGCTAAGCCCTGTGCAATAGTATATTGAGTTGCTGTCCTAACACCAAGGATCTTATCAAAGAAAGAATTTACATTTATGGAAATAAGTTAAGAGTAATCCATTGGAGAGGATAAAATAAAGATGATAATCCAATTAGAAGGGAAGTAGCTATTCTTCCTCAGAATGATGCCTGTACAACACTCTATGATTTTCTTCCTAAAGATGGATCCCGTTAAACTGGGTCATTTTATAAATGGTAACTGAGATGGAGCTTAAGTGACTTGGTCAGTGTCACAGTCTGTGGCAGAACTGGGGTACAAATCCCAATCTCCCACTGTGGCTGTTTAATAAAATCATCCATTTGCTTAGAAAATTCCACACAGAAGAACTTCCATGGAATTCTAAATCCATAAAATTCTAGTTTGACTTAAGTTTTCTGATTTTCAGGAAAAGTGAGAAATTTCTGTACGGGGAGTTTGTTTGTTTGTTTGTTTTTAATCTTCAATCACTGACACCCTAGGGCAACATTTTCAAAGCACTTCATGAGATTTCAGGGCCCCTTTTTTTTTTTTTTTTTTTTTAAACCTTCAGATTGCTGGCACTTTCCATGCCTCTAACCAAACAAGTGCTTTCAAACTCATCTGGAGACAACTGGTGTCCTGCATATCACCTCCCAGTTATTTGGAGCTACTTCTAAAATAGCTTTTGCTATGAAATTATAATTTAAAGGTGCCAGATGTCTTAGAGTTCATGGTAGACTAAGTTTTTTGAAAAAAATTAGTTCAGTAGTTTTGAAGTTTACATTTATCAAGCTCAGACTTTTTTACAAGTAGTCGTTTACACTGATTCAAAGTTAGTGAGGTTTAAAAAACTTAGATTCTCTCCCCATGTGACTTCTTCAGAATCTGTCACTGATTTAAAAATAACCCAATTTGGAAGTCTGCAGGTACTTACTGTAGCAGGTTACATAAAACCTTCAGTTTATTTTAGATATTTTGTTTAAAAAATCCTTTATTATAAAAAGACCGCGTGTTAAGGTATAAGCACAACAGAGCTGAGGTTGAACTTTCAACCTTAAATGTTGATTTCTTAATCTAACAGTTGCATTCATGATAGTTTTATTCTATATTAATTTAAAAATATTCTGTTGATTGTAAATAAAATGTTCATATATTAATAAAATCTCATTGTTATAACTCTCCTTAGTAAGCAGTCAGCCCATTTTATCCACTGCTTACAATCTATTTAAAATCTGCTGCTCATTTAATTGACTGCAGTGACTCTTCCATGTTATCTGTCAATTCAGTTGTATTGGTTACAACTGAATATGAGATTCAGATGGAAAATCCTATTGCTGCCATTTTAAGGCTCTTCAAGCACTAATCACCAATATATTTGCAATTATTTCTATTCTGTTGTGCAGCATTATGGTATTTAAAAATTGTCTCATTTGCTTTTTGCACAGGTTTGTAAACTTAGTGATTTTCGCACCTAATTGCGAAATATTTTTCATGTCACAGTTAACTTTGTTTTGATTTTTGCAATTTAAAGTATACTTTTAAATTTGATAGCTAAGTTGCAATAATCATGAAAGCTAAGTTGCAGTAGAAGTCAAATATAATGCAAAAAAACCCATTTCCTGTATTGGTCTTTTTACTTCTCTTGACTGTGAATACAATCATGGATCTCAGTCCTCTAGCTTAACTACACAACTCACTGACCTGAAACAGCTCACTCGGGAGAAACATCAAGGCTTTTCACCCTAGGAACCATTGGAGATGAAGTTTGAGCTCTGTATAAGCAGGGTAGTAATAAATGTGAGGTATTTTTTAACCTTTCTGGGATTGGTGGACCAATATTGGAATATTGTGTAGCATTCTGGTGTCAGCATTTTTAAAGGATGATGAAAAATAAAATGGCTGCAAAAACAGCCTGAAAAAATGGTTGGAAAGAGTCCTGCAGAGAGGAACTTAAAGAATTCAATCTGGTTAGCTTGTCAAAAAGATCAACAGGTAACTTGACTTTCTTCTTTGTGGGGAGAAAATACAGAGTGCTATCGGGCTGGAAGTTGAAGACAGTCAAATTTGACCTGATATATATTTTAAACAATGAGGGTGGTTAACTTTTTGAACAAACTACCAAGGGAAGTGGTGAATTCTTCGCTCCTAGATGTCTTAAACAAGAATGGATGTTTTCCTCTAACACCTATTTTAGTCATGCACAAGGTATTTGGTCCAATATGGGTTTAGTGAGTTTATGCAGGAGGTCAGATGAGATGAACCAGTGGTTCTTCTGGCCTCAAAACTAAATAAAAACTATTTCATGACTTGCTGTATTTTTGTTTTTTCCAAGTTCAGTGAGTAGGTCAAGACCCTGGTTGCAATAGATATAGGATTTCAGTAATGGAAAAAAGAAAACAAAGTTATAATTGACTGGATCTAGGCTAAGAAGAAATAATTAAATAATAGAATTAATAGAAATAATAGTGAAAAGATTAATTTGGAGGCAGGGCAAGCTGTTTCAGAAAGTGTGTGCAGCATATTTTATACAGTAGATGTTAAAGTACTGCATATCCTTGAAGTAGCTCTGTCCTTAAATACAAAAGTAAAATTAATTCATGAATCAGGACTACAAAATACTTAGCACATAGTGAGCTAACTGTTGAGTAAGATGGTTTCTCATTGTGAGATGAATGGATGATAGTGCTAGTAAAAGTAAATGTCATGAATGAAGAAATCAAAGTGATCTATAACATTCCCATGGCAGATTGAAATAGTTAGCTTTAAACTAGACCACATACAGGTTCTAAGTGTGGTGTTGGCACTGCCATTAAACAAGATTTTTTTAAAATTCTTATAACAGAGCTAATCATCCTGCCATTGCTCTTCCATCTTTCGCTTTAGTCATTCCTCAAAAATAAATCATCTATTTCAAATGCTGTTAAAACCCATGATGCCAACTCAGTAATATTTAGTAGTATTCTGAAAGTCCTGATTTTGTAGTTTAGCATGAGAATCTCAGCTTTCCTTGGGGAAAAACAAACAAACAAAAGTCTAGCCCTTATGCTTATAGCGAAAAGCTTGAAAACGTGACTTTTAATCATCCAAAAGTCAAAAGACCCTCAAATTGATTATTTTTAAAATTCTCATTACTTCAAGAGCATGGCAATATTGTGAAACTGAAAAGGGGTGAGATAACTAACTTTAAAATGAGGCTATCAGTGAGAACAGTCACTCTGGTTGAGCTAAAGTAAACTGGTTTCCTTGAGTTTACTCTAATCCAGGGCTACTCAACTTTGGAAGCCCCATGGGGCACAATGATGCTCACAGCACATGCTGAGGGCCGCAGCTTAAGTGTGGTTCCATATTTATGCAAATATACTGTATATGCAAATAGCTTTTCACACTGACTCGCATGAATACAAAGATTAAGGCAAGACTACACCACACGCAGGCCCCATTTAAGTAAGGCAGGTCTGCTGATATTAATAAAATGCAATATTTACCTGATTTCCACCCATATGACAGAACTTTTAATGAGCAAAGACAGTCCAAGAAAAGCTACTAAAACACATACCAACAGAAGACCATTATATTGACTACATTTTTGGTTTGGCTCCCACCCGTGGGTGGCAAACAAACTGGCTGCAGACCTCATGATGAGTAGCCCTGCTCTACTCACATCTTATTCTTGTGCTGTTACTTCTCACCTGGCCTTTATTGCATGTGGGATCCAAGGCTATTCTAATGACAGCCACATTTGTTTCTAGAGGTTCCGACTGGATTGGGTAGGGGGGCCCTAGGGCCAGAGATGAGGCTGTTCTGGGAGCCAGGGGTCTATGCTGAGGTTGCAGCTGGGGGCAGGTCTGGGATCTGGAGTGGAGTCACAGTAGGGTCTGGTAGCCACAGCTGGGTTCAGAGCCTGATTGGGAGCTAGGAGTCAGCTGGGGCTAGAGTGGAGCTGGGCAGCTCTCTCTCCCCAGCCCCGTGGTTGGGCTGGCTCAGGTGGGGAGGGAGAGCTGCCCAGCCAAGGCATTTGGGAGAAGTGAGGTGTCTCACTTCCGCTCCCCTATAGATGTGCACCCCACAGCTTGGAGACCACTGTTCTATAACCTCCAATTATGGATTTAAAATATATAAATATGAAATCTATTGATTATAACTGCAACATTGAAGATGACCCAGATAGTAAAAACAGCTATTTGGACACTTTAGCCTCCTGTAAGGAAATGATGCTATGGACCATCACCAAATAGTTGTGTATCTATTCAAGGCTCCTCAGTGTTTGACAATCACAGCAAAAAGCCAATAAATTTTTGGAAGTACACTGTGGTATTGACTGTAAATTAGCATTTTGTGTTGCA